TTTTTTTTTTTTTTTTTTTTTTGAAAATTCCCGGGAAAATTGTAGCCGCTACCCTTGCGCACTGAGTAATCTGCTTACTGTGCAATAACTCGCAAATCACACGTGAGATGTAAATCGCACTAGGCATGTTCGGTACGACGAGCTATGACTGAGGAGGCTGTCGGTGAAGGGAATTGATCACAGGTTTCCCATGTGAGAAACCATTCACCATTAGGCTAAATTATACTCCATCCGTTCCAATTTATGTGAACCTATTTGACTAGGCACGGAGTTTAAGAAAAAATAAGACTTTTAGAATTTGTGATCCTAAACAAGTAAAAAAGGGGCACAAAGTACTTGTGTGGTTATAAAAGCTTCTCCTTAAGGGTAAAATTGTAAGTTTAAGCTAAATCGTTACCAGATTTAGAAAAAGGTCATTCTTTTTGGAACGGACTAAAAAAGAAATAGATTCACATAAATTGGAACCGAGGGAGTATGAAATTTGTGGCCATCTTGTACATAATAGAGAGATGAAAATGATCAAACAAAAAGGCAAAAATACGAAGCACTACTCGGGCAAAATTGGATCCACATGTCTAAAATAATACTATATTTTTCTTCGTCTAAGGTTAATAATAAGGAAAATTTCAAATATTACAAGAAAGGAAACAGCTTAAAATCTATTAAAAAAAGGGTTCACGGTCGATGAAAAAAGATTTAAAAAATAGTTTTAAGCCCTATCCATAAAATCTTCTTTTTAATTGCTTAATATTGAGTACTTGTAGCTAAATAAAATAAAATTGAAGAATGCACCAAGCAAATATACGTGAAACAGTTTTCTAATTTCTCTAGTTATAACTTAACTATTGGATAAGGGAGGATACAGTCTTTTATTATTTTAAATCTACATAAATTACAAAAATAAAATTTATTCATTATAGATAATCAAAAATTAAATATTTTGGCATGTTAGAATCACCTTGCTTCCATTGAAAATACTGCTAAAGAGTTTTTCAATTTACTTTTTTTCTATTTCTCACTCGATGTTTGAAGTCTATATTTATATCAAATCAATAAATCATGTATTTATTGATTTGATATAAATATCCGACGCGAATAAGTTTTTACCGATTTTATAATTAGGGCATGAGGGTGTCTTTATCTGGACAAAAACAAGAGGTTAAGGATTAATTTGGGTCAAATAAACATGTGGAGTGATTAATAGACAGTCAAAATGCATGCTTCATTGAAATCTGTTCATTATTAGTAGTACTATTTCATTTAGTTAATTAACAATAATTATCTTGCTGTTTCACCCTCAATTGTCCAACACTATAAAGACAGTCCTCACTGTCAAATGTGGCCACTTTTTACCAACTTTAAATCCTGGCCCTCCATCCTTTCTTGTAATTCTAGCCCCCCCAAAAATCAAAGTACAGAAAAGTGGTCCTTAAATTTTGTTTATTACAACTAGCTAAGTAGCTGGTACTATTACCAATTCTAGTTCTAGATAAAGGATAAGAGTTGCCCCAAGCCTGACTTTTTCTGAGTTGTCATTGCTTTACTTTTTGCATAAGATATGGTTCATCCTTGGTACATATTTCTAGTTCCAGAAAAAATAATAATTCCTCAATATTTATTTTTGTGGTAGTACTTAGTACATAATTTAAGAAGAAATAATATTTTTCGAACATATTAAATTAAACATGTAAATTCATAATTTTTAAGACATGAGTGCATGCTTTTGTCGACAGTTGCTACTAATCATAAAAGGATACTAGGTCAATTTTTTTGAACATTAATACTAGTTTATAACAATAACAATAACAATAACAACACAACAAACATAATAAAATCCCACAAGTGAATATACGGAGGGTAATATGTACACATATCTTATTTCTACTTTGGGGAAGTAGAAAGACTATTTTCGATAAATACCTGGTTCAATGAATGATGACGTTAATACTAGTTTCATATACAAAAATATAGAGCTGAAACTGAAATAATAAGTGCTTGAGTATTCATTAGTTTGTATGTATAACGGAAACAACCTCTCTGCCCCTCGGGGCAGGGGTAAGGTCTGCGTACATACTACCCTCCCCAGACCTCACTTGTGGGCTTATACTGGGATGCTGTTGTTGTTGTTGTTGTATGTATAGCGGAAAGTTTAAAGTTCAATTGTCTCTAAATATAAATAAACATTATTATTTTTAGAATAGACTAACTAGAAAAAAATACCATATAAAATAAAATACATGGTATATATACAATTTTTTTGAACATTAATACTAGTTTATAACAATAACAATAACAATAACAACACAACAAACACAATAAAATCCCACAAATGGATATAGGGAGGGTAATATGTAAACGTATCTTATCTCTACCTTGGGGAAGTAGAAAGACTATTTTCGATAAATACCCGGTTCAATGAACGATGACGTTAATACTAGTTTCATATACAAAAATATAGAGCTGAAACTGAAATAATAAGTGCTTGAGTATTCATTAGTTTGTATGTATAGCGGAAAGTTTAAAGTTTAATTGTCTCTAGATATAAATAAACATTATTATTTTTAGAATAGACTAACTAGAAAAAAATACCATATAAAATAAAATACATGGTATATAATTAATCTCATTTAAGGGATTTTTCAAGGCACATGTTCCTTAAGTCCTAACCTAAAGTTTTTACTCTTTTATTTTTAACTGTTCCTATTTTGTTTTTCATATTGGTTTATAGCCCTCCCTCCCCCCTTCCCCCCCAAAAACCAATCTTACGATAATAAAACGAGATATATAAAATTGTCCCACGTATATCCTTGCCCCACTCCACTGAAACATACAGCGTTACTAAATTAAAGTTTCTTTTTCGTGTTTGTTTTTTCCCAAGTAATAAGAAAATAACTACCAACTACCAAAAGACGTGATATACTAGATAAGACAGCCCAGGTTTCGGGTTCGAATTCTAAGTATTAAAAATACTTTGTAAGAAACACTTCCCCGAATAAAGTCTTACACGATGCGAATCAAATATAATCAGACTCTAATACATATAATGGCGGAACCACCTTATAGGAAGGGATGTCAAATGACACTCATTCGCAAGAAAAATACATTGTATAAGTAGGTAAAAAAAATATTTATATATACATATATATACTATGTGTTGATTTCTCTTAATTTTTTAACATATTTACTTTTATATATTTTGATACCTATTAATAAAAATTCAGGCTCCGCGCTAAATAATTGCAGAGACATCGGATGGAAAACCCAACCAAAAAAAGTAATAAGAATACATTAATCTATTTTCCCAACGTCTTTCTTCCACTTAGCTCAAACCCCACTTTACCTTTCTCCAACACACACACACACACAGTGTACCCTCTTTTCTTTCTTTCCACTGTTCTCACTATCAACCCTTTCACACTCTCCCTATCTTTCTCTAAAGCTCAAAACTTGGTTTTCTGGTGTACAAAGGTAAGCTCTTTGAGACCAATTTTTCCATTCTTGAGCTAAAAATGCTAGCTTTATGTTTATACATTTTCATGGTTCTTTCTAATTCTTGTATTTTAGTGAGTTCTTTGAATAATGAAGGAATAGCACTTTGGTCATTCAAGAAAGGTATAGGTCAAGATCCTGAAGGTTCATTAAATAATTGGAATTATTCTGATGAAACTCCTTGTTCATGGAATGGTATTACATGCAAAGATTTTAAAGTTATTTCTGTTAGTATTCCTAAAAAGAAACTCACTGGTTTTGTTTCTTCTAGTCTTGGATCTTTATCTGAGCTTAGACATGTTAATTTAAGGAGTAATTTGTTTTCTGGTAGTTTACCTGTTGAGTTATTTAAGGTTCAAGGTTTACAAAGTTTGGTTCTTTATGGGAATTTGTTCTCTGGGGTTATACCTTTTGAGGTTGGGAGGTTAAATTATCTTCAAACTTTGGATTTGTCACAGAATTTCTTGAATGGTTCTGTTCCTGTGAGTTTGCTTCAGTGTAAAAGGTTGAAGGTTCTTGATCTTAGTCAAAATAATTTTACTGGTTTTTTACCTGAGGGGTTTGGTGGTAATTTGTCTGCATTGGAAAAACTTGATCTTGGTTTTAATAAATTTGAGGGTCCAATTCCTAGTGACTTAGGAAATTTGTCTAATTTGCAAGGGACTGTTGATTTGTCTCATAATATGTTTAGTGGTTCAATTCCGGCGAGTCTTGGTAATCTACCAGAGAAGGTGTATATTGATTTGACTTATAACAATTTGAGCGGTCCAATTCCACAAAATGGTGCTTTGATTAACAGAGGACCTACTGCTTTTATTGGTAATCTTGGGCTTTGTGGACCTCCGTTAAAGAACCCGTGTTCTGCACAAAGTGAGGCAAGTTCACCGGAATCGGAACCTTTCTTGCCTAATAATTCTCCCTTAGATGATGCTGGAAATGATGGGAATGCCAAAGGTTTGAGTAGAGGTGCTGTAATTGCGATAATCATTGGGGATGTGGTTGGAATTTGTGTTATTGGGTTGCTATTCTCGTATTGTTATTCGAGAATTTGTGCCTGTGGTAGGAAAAAGGATGAATCTGGCTTTGGTTTTCAAAAGGGAGGGAAAGGAAGAAAAGAGTGTTTATGTTTTAGGAAGGATGAGTCAGAGACGTTATCGGAGAATATTGAGCAATACGATTTAGTGGCACTAGATAATCAAGTGGCGTTTGATCTTGACGAACTTCTCAAGGCATCTGCTTTTGTCCTTGGTAAAAGTGGTATTGGCATTGTGTACAAAGTTGTTCTTGAAGACGGGCTTAACTTGGCCGTGAGAAGACTAGGTGAGGGTGGTTCTCAAAGATTTAAGGAATTCCAAACAGAGGTCGAAGCAATTGGAAAACTGAGGCATCAAAATATTGTGACGCTTCGTGCCTATTATTGGTCTGTGGATGAGAAGCTACTGATATATGACTTCATTCCAAATGGAAACCTTGCAACTGCAATTCATGGTAAGCTTTTAACATTGACCATTGTGTTCTTGTTTATCGTTTTTTCTCCAGCTTTCTTTTTACCTTGGTTTATGGGCAGGGGCGAAGCTACGTTGGGTTAAGGGTGGTCAACCACCTTTTCTCGAAAAATTACATTGTGTAGATAGTTAAAATATTAGATTTTAGAGGTATATAATATATATATTGAACACCCTTTGTTGGGAATTTTTTTTCTCTTTCAAGTTTGAACACCCTTGGAAAAATTTCTAGCTTCGCCACTGTGTACGGGCTAGGTGGCCAGCTTGCGCGCACCTCATGGTTCTCAACCCAGCTCATTGACCACTAGGTCACACCTTGGGTGCTCGTTTTTTCTGTAGCTTCTTTAATTGTTTTAAGCTTTCATGACTATTTAATTATTAATTGTGGTTTTTTTGGCTTGTCTCAACCCTTAGGAAAACCTGAAATGGTGTCATTTACACCTCTTTCATGGTCGATTCGCCTGAAAATAATGAAGGGAACTGCTAAAGGGTTGGTTTATTTACATGAATATAGTCCCAAGAAATATGTTCATGGTGATCTGAAACCATCTAATATATTGCTTGGGCACGATATGGAACCCAAAATCTCTGACTTTGGACTTGGACGTCTTGCTAATATAGCGGGAGCATCCCCTACGTTGCATTCCAACCACATGGCATCTGAGAAACCACAACAAAGTAAGCAAGGCAGTGCACCGTCAGAGGCTGCAACGACAGTTACGTCAACTACAACTTCTGGTTCTTGTTACCAGGCTCCCGAGGCATTGAAAGTGGTGAAACCATCGCAGAAATGGGATGTTTACTCATATGGAGTGATTTTGCTGGAAATGATTACGGGAAGAACCCCGGTTATCCAAGTAGGTTCCTCAGAAATGGATCTTGTCAACTGGATTCACTGGTGCATTGAAGAAAAGAAGCCACTTTCAGATGTATTGGACCCGTATTTAGCTCAAGATGCTGATAAAGAAGAGGAAATGATCGCAGTTTTGAAGATTGCAATGGCGTGTGTTCACAGCAGCCCGGAAAGGAGACCATCAATGAGGCACATATCTGATACACTAGAAAGACTGCCCGCGTCCTCTGACTGAAAGATCAAACACAGCCCGTGTCTCGTTCTCTTGGTTAGCACTGAAGTTTCAGCATNAATTGCAATGGCGTCTGTTCACAGCAGCCCGGAAAGGAGACCTTCAATGAGGCACATATCTGATGCACTAGAAAGACTGCCCGCGTCCTCTGACTGAAAGATTCAAACACTGCCCGTGTCACGTTCTCTTGGCTAGCACTGAAGTTTCAGCATGTAACCGATATTGTGCAAACCATTAACCGGTTGGAGCAAAAAGAGATGGTGCAGAAATATTTATGACTAACAGTAGTAATCTCCACTTGTTCTTGTTGAGAGATCTTAGTGAAGGAAAGTCTGTTTGAAGAGCATGCCAAAAAAATTTGTTACTGTTTTTTCATGTGTTTTATGTAGGTTTTTTGCTCTAAATTCAGGCTTTGTTGTCTATTTGTTGTTCGTTCTGTTGATCAAGAACATAAATTATTGTTTCTATTTATTACTACTGCTATTCATCTTTGTTCGTCAATGAGTATGTAAATAACAATGATTGTCAAAACAATAAAGAATTTATGGTGTAGCAATAACTATATGTCTCTGGAGTCTGCAACTTTTGGTACAATTTTTGTCAATATTCCTTTGTCCAGTACTTGAAATTCTTTAACTATAGGGATTAATGTTTTCTAGTGCTAATAAATGCATCTTGGTGGCAGCTGCATAATTGTCTCATCTACCCTTCTCATTTCTGCAATAAACTTTTTGGTGACAGCTGCATACTGTCATGTGACCAGAAGGTCACGTGTTCGAGTCGTGGAAACATTCTCTTGTACAAATGCAGGGTAAGGTTGCGTACAATAGACCCTTGTGGTCCGGCTCCCGCGCATAGCGGGAGCTTGGTGTATTGGGCTGCCCTTTTACTGTTTCCGCTACTTGAACCTATGACCTTCCAGTCACACTGCAGCAATTTTTACCATTGCACCAGCTTCCTCTTCTTAACTTCTATATACTAAAAGTTATAAAAAAAAATATGTACGATATCAAGTCACTTAAAAGTTAATTATAGTAACCGTCCATATAAAGTAAGATTAGTAACCTAAAAATACATGAATGTGCTTATTATTTTGATGTATGGATCGAGCGTAGGTAAGTATTTTCGCGAATTCAGCCTAGGCAAGGGAAAGAAGAGGCTAAAATCATAAGAATGATATGCAAATGAAAATTTGGGGATCATTTTTCAGATTACTTCAGCTTCAGCACATGCATTTCTGTACAAATCTGTTTGATTCTTGATCATTTGCTTTCTTGATTCTTGATTGTGTCAATCTACCTAGCCCTCAAAGGAACAAGTCAAATATGCAAAGCTTTCAATAAAAGGGGAGTCTTTATATATTAAAGATGCACCCTTTCCATCCAATGGCTCGTTGCAAATATCGTCAAAAAGACGAATTTAAAATTTAGAATTGATAGATTCAGAGCGACATGTAAATGGAAATTTTCAGGTCTTTTTGTGCATACACACCGATATAATTTTTTTACTAATTTTCGAGCAAATAAGGTTGCATCTGCCTCTGGCATGGGCGGATCTTGTTTAATGACGGCGAGTGTGGTCTGAATCTATTATTAAATTCTAAACTTATAATTTCAGAAGTATAATGGATTCAATAATAAGAATCGAAAGAATTAACCCACCCAGTCTAAATTCTGAATCTCTTTCTTATTTCTTATTTCTCATTACACCTTTTTCAGATTCCATACAATCATCAACTCACCATCTTTTCTTAGTGCTTACTGTAAAGCTAGCTATAGAGCACATGAACTTTTGCCAAAAGACAATATTACAGATACACTGAAGCTTATTGCCATTTTAGTAGGTAGCAATGCATTGAGACAAAGTATGACAGCTTTAGAAGTAATAGTACTTTTAATCACTGTGTTTTTGGACATCTAAAAATCTAGGTCTATTTCGATATGGTTGGATTTATATGTCAAGAGTTCGAACCGTAAAATCAGCAACTGATGCTTGCATTAGGGTAGTATACCTACATCATACCCTATTAGGATGCGACCTTCCCCGGACCCTATCTGAACGCGGGATGCTTCGTGCACGGACCGCCCTTTTTTGGTCTTAATTAGTTGAAACTTTATGGCTGGAGACCAATATTAAATTAATGAATTTTTAGTTTGAAAAAAGCTTGACATTTTCTTGGTCTTGATTGGCTACTTAAATTGCAATATATTTGACTTTATAATAGTGCTTTATTGTCGGAATGTAGCTTGTCAACTCAATGCAGTAGCACGAGCTCTATTTTTTTCTACTATTTCTAATCATGATTGCGCCATTCATGCCAACTACAATGGGAGAATTTGGTACCTACGTAAAGATTTTGAAAAATATTACTCAAGTGTATTAGTATTGATCTTCAATATTAGGGTCAAATTAATCACCTTTCCTCCGTGTTTTAGAAATTTAATTGAAGAATTTGTTGTCAAAGAATCATAGATACGATTCACCAAATAACATGTACATTAAGTTGTTAGTTTTTGACAGATGAATTATCATTTTTAATAATTATAATTATAGCCTACCTTTATAGATATTTAATGTAGGGCTTTTTTCACTTATAACCCGCGCCAGAATTTATTTATATTCGATAGTCGAAAAAGTATATAAATTTTTTATAATTTTGTATATAACATACAAAATGTATATATATACAAAAAATATATGTTTTTCGGCTATTATTTTAGGAGCGGCTATACATTGTCATTTTCCCATCAATATGTACCCATGTTTCTACAAATCAATTCAAAAGACTTCAATTGCTATTCTTTCCCATATGGATTTGTTGTTTACTTTTTCTAGCCGATATGCATAAATATATATTAATTATATATATTTATACACATATTACATATGAATTATAATATATATTATACATTTTAATGTAAGCAATCAGGTGAACAACCGTATAGATTATTTCTTCTAAGAAAAAAGGGGCAACATAGCATCAAAGACTTGGAAAAGTGAAACCAGAGATATATGACAGCATGGTCCATAGGAAAGAGAGGCCCACTCTTTTGCTTTTACTCCTTTAATACACACATATTAGCTAGTTTTTTTTGTTTCTCACTCGGTGTCCGGTATTTATATTAGGACCCGACTAAATTCAGATTCGCGTCGGGAAGTTCCTCATTGGGGGGTAAAGCGCTCCCTAACAAGGGCGACTCCATACCTAGGGACTCGAACCCGAGATATCTGATTAAGAATGACGAAATATTTATCACTCCACCACAACCCTTGTTGGTACATATTAGCTAGCTTAAAAGAATTTAATTATCGATAACAATTGAAAATAGAAACTTGAAAAATAAAACCATTAATCTAGTACAACATGTTAAATTATACTAGTAACTTAATAAGTATAGCATTCTTAACGCTATTGGTATATATAAAGTTAAGAAAAATTTACCTAGCTATACTATAATAGAAACCTATTTACCACATTTATTTAGGTTCCTTAATAATTACTTTGTATATTTATATTTACAAGCTATACATAAAACCATAAAAACGAAAAAAATTCAAGATCTCTTAAATTTAGCCTATCAGTTACACAACACCCACTCCCATTCCCAATAACCCCTACATTTAAGATTCTGTTCTTTTTTCAAAGGATTTCAAAAATAGTTTATCTCTTTCTTAATAATCACTCAAATATTTTCTTATTTTTTTTATACCCACTCCCCCCAAAATTGCCGATTTTTTTCCTTTTTCAAAGGTATTGAAACCCAATTTCTATCTTTCTTACCGATCACCCAAAATCTCTCTTTCTTATTGATACAATAAAGACAAAATTCGAAATATAACTTTAAAATCTTGTTTTCTTTCTTTCTTTTGTCTCTCTTTCAAGCTTTACTCTACATTAACAATGTCTTCACTAACAATAAGAATCATTATATGACTTTTTTATAGAGATCTTCCCAAATTGCTATCTCTTTACTAAAATACAGGTTTGAACTTCGATTTGCAGTTGCTCTATTCACTAATAGGTAAAAAATCCAAATTATATGATAATTTTATCATATTTATTTTAGAATTATATCACAATTGTATTAAAATTATATGTGACTTGTACATGATACATCAACATCCAAAATAATACTTGATACAATACTAATTCAATTATAATACGTTATATTAGATTTTTAGTGTAAAGTTGTGATTGAAACTTGAAGAAGATGAAGATCTTAATTGTGTCACAATATTTTCAGAAATGCATCGTGATTGTATTATAATTGTATATGTATTATAATTTTTGCATGAATTGTATTACAAATGTATGATAATTATATATTCATTGTATATTTTTACGAGCAGTTGTGAGTTCGTGACCAATTTTATAGTTTGTATCACAAATATATGATAATTGTATATCACTTTATTAGTTTTGTATCATGTATTATTTTGGGTATTAATGTACCAAATACAAGTTAGATACAATTATGATACAATTATGTTTTAGGCATTGATGTATTGTATCTGATACAATTCAAATACAATTATGATACAGTTATCATATAATTATCATACAATTCATGCAACTTCTTCTTTTTCGAGTTTCAATATGAAATTTCACCTAAAGCCAACTTTATACTTAACTAATATCCCTCAAAATAGAGATATAAATTCCAAAGTATATTCTCAATCATTTGCAAGAATATACAATCCAAATAAATCATAAATTCTGAAAATATGAATATCGACTGATAATCGGTTCAATATATGCATATTTTGATATATATCGCCTCACATTTTGCTCTTGTCTCAATAATTTGAGATGTTTAATATAATTATTTATGCTAAATTTTGGTATTTCTATGTGGAGGGATCATTCGAATGCAATTTGGGACGAAAGGGCGCGAATTGGAGCGAAATCGGGATAAAAAGTTGAATTCACGCTGGCTGTGGCCCAATTTACAGCAGCTAAAATATTTGAGCGCCAGGGCCAGCGCCCCACGCTGCCCTGGACGCTCAAGACGGAAAAGTAGCCTTTTTCGACTAGGACTCGATTATTTCGACCCCTAGACGCCCCCAACTCATATAAAAACCAACCTAAACCTATTTTTGCAAGGGGGGTGACTTTGAGAGAGGAAGGGAGGCGCCAAACACTCTGAAGCACGGATTTGATTAATTCTTTCATCCCTTTCCTAGTACTCATTGATTTTATGTTTGAAAACTTATTTTTGTTGATTGTATGAACATGAGTAGCTAAAAACCCTATTGTTATAGGGTCATGGGTGATACATGAATGTTGATGTTTGAAGTTTAATTTGACGAAGTTGATTTTTTCATATCGGGTTGTTTATTTAATTCTGTTCTTAATTATTTTGCTGAGTAGCTAACAGTGAAATACTATCTACGAATCTAGAGTTGAACTCGAAAATGGGAATTCTAGATTGCATATAGAATTAAATAGAGCAAGTTCTTGAACCCGAGCATTGGGGAAAAGATTCGCAATTAGGATAGACATATACCTAATTGCCTTGCTCGGTTGAAATACATGAATTGTAAATGCATTCTTGTTAATCTTA